TGAGGAATCTAAATGAAGAGAAACTAGGGGAGGCCACAGATCCAGAGGAGAACCTCAGAGACTTCCCAGTCTATCCTATGATTTGGCTTCAGTTTCGAGAAGAAATTATTAAAGTGTTTATCCTGTCAATTTTATTTAATTAGGGCTTATATTTGCGTGGCATTGTCACACAAATCGCCTGGAAGATATAAGGTTTTACGTCATATCTGTCGACACTCTCGGAACCTAGAACGAGTTAGGGCTCAGATCGTACAGCAGAGCTATAAGAGCTATACAAATCGTCCAGCAGAGCTATACAAATGCCTAAAGAAGGAAGATTTATGTTGCGCTAAGCAAACAACCTCGAAATCCTATGGATAGTTGTTTAATTTCTAAGAAAGAAATGGGTTTTGCTGGGGAAGACAGGTTTTGCTGTTGAAGATGGTTGTGCTGCCCACCGCGCTAGCTCCAAGCTCACCGACGTGACGAGTTTAAGTTTTCTAGGGTGTCCAGTTACGATGTTAAATCAAACAACCGTATGGTGAAAGTCTTCTAAACATCCTATATAAAAGAAGACATGCTTAAAGATATATAAATAAAAATATGCAGTACAAGACAACAGTAGGATGCATGTAGAGCAGTAGCAGGTAGAAACATGAGTGGTATAACATGTTGTACAGAAAGAACAGTAGCAGGTGAAAATAGGACAAGTATAACATGCTATACAGTACGGTAGCAGATAGAAACAAGAAAATTAAGTGTTGTAAAATGTAAAGCAAACATGCACGCCCGTAAGATTCGCTATTCCTTAAGTACAACAAGTCTAAATGCATCGCAAAAAGCGAGGTCTGAAAGAAACGTCGTCCGGGAAATCTGAAAAAAGTGTAACAATGACTCATGGCAAAAAACTCGAAAAAAGCGACTCAAGTAAAAGAGAATAAAAAGAATCCTCAAAAATCTTAGAGAAATCCCGAAAGAAAAGAAAAGTAACACGAGTGTCCTGTCCCAAAGCTTCGATAAAACGAAACAACAAAAAAAAGGTTCGGGTGAGGAGGACGGCAAGCACTCGTATGGGGCTAGGCTCAGCTATGTATTTATACTCGAGGGTCCACGAAGGCTACTCGGTCACCCGAATGTATAG